GAAAACCCTGTACACCATGCAGAAAACCCTGTACACCATCACCATGCAGAAAACCCTTTACACCATCACCATACAGAAAACCCTGTACACCATGCAGAAAACCCTGTACACCATCACCATGCAGAAAACCCTGTACACCATCACCATGCAGAAAACCCTGTACGCCATGCAGAAAACCCTGTACACCATCACCATGCAGAAAACCCTGTACACCATCACCATGCAGAAAACCCTGTACACCATCACCATGCGTCAAACTCCAGTCCTTGAGGGCCTTGTGTCTGGGGTTTTAGCTCTTCCCTTGATTGATCAATTAAGGTCCTTAATTAGTTAGGAACTCCCCTCCCCAGGTTGTCTAATTTCAGAGAGCTCGCATCTGCTACAAGACCATGGTGCTTGCCTATGGAGCTGTGAGGGGAACGGCACCTCCGTACCTTCAGGCTCTGGTCAGACCCTACACCCAAACGAGGGCATTGCGTTCATCCACCTCTGGCCTGCTGGCCCCCCTACCTCTGCGGAAGCATAGTTCCCGCTCAGCCCAGTCAAAACTGTTCGCTGCTCTGGCACCCCAATGGTGGAACAAGCTCCCCCACGACGCCAGGACAGCGGAGTCACTCACCACCTTCCGGAGACACTTGAAACCCTACCTCTTTAAGGAATACCTTAAAGAACTTGACTGGCCTGCACAGAGCCCTGACCTCAACCCCATCGAACACCTTTGGGATGAATTGTAACCCCGACTGCGAGCCAGGCCTAATCGCCCAACATCAGTGTCCGACCTCACTAATGCTCTTGTGGCTGAATGGAAGCAAGTCCCTGCAGCAATGTCCCAACATCTAGTGGAAAGCCTTCCCAGAAGAGTGGAGGCTGTTATAGCAGCAAAGGGGGAACCAACTCCATATTAATGGCCATGATTTTGGAATGAGGTGTTGGACGAGCAGGTGTCCACATCCTAGTGTATTAGCCACTATCAGTATCGACCGTCGGAAGGCCTAATAACGGCACATATTCAACTGCCAATTTACTGTTAGTTCCCTTTAGTTGGTATAGCCAACCGTTGACCTTCCTCTGTAAACGCCGTAGTTCCCTTTAGTTGGTATAGCCAACCGTTGACCTTCCTCTGTAAACGCCGTAGTTCCCTTTAGTTGGTATAGCCAACCGTTGACCTTCCTCTGTAAACGCCGTAGTTCCCTTTAGTTGGTACAGCCAACCGTTGACCTTCCTCTGTAAACGCCGTTGTTCCCTTTAGTTGGTATAGCCAACCGTTGACCTTCCTCTGTAAACGCCGTAGTTCCCTTTAGTTGGTATAGCCAACCGTTGACCTTCCTCTGTAAACGCCGTAGTTCCCTTTAGTTGGTATAGCCAACCGTTGACCTTCCTCTGTAAACGCCGTAGTTCCCTTTAGTTGGTATAGCCAACCGTTGACCTTCCTCTGTAAACGCCGTAGTTCCCTTTAGTTGGTATAGCCAACCGTTGACCTTCCTCTGTAAACGCCGTAGTTCCCTTTAGTTGGTACAGCCAACCGTTGACCTTCCTCTGTAAACGCCGTCACGGCCGTGTGGTTGTTGCTAAGGATCATTAGTAACAGATGATAATATATTTATGCAGAGCCTTAGACCGCTGCGTCAATACACATACACTATACAGTAAATAGAGTTAGTATATAGTTTATAGTATAGAGTTAGTATATAGTTTATAGTATAGAGTTAGTATAGAGTTAGTATATAGTTTATAGTATAGAGTTTATAGAACAGAGTTAGTATATAGTTTATAGTACAGAGTTAGTATATAGTTTATAGAACAGAGTTAGTATATAGTTTATAGAACAGAGTTAGTATATAGTTTATAGTATAGAGTTAGTATATAGTTTATAGTATAGAGTTAGTATATAGTTTATAGTATAGAGTTAGTATATAGTTTATAGAACAGAGTTAGTATATAGTTTATAGTATAGAGTTAGTATATAGTTTATAGTATAGAGTTAGTATATAGTTTATAGTATAGAGTTAGTATATAGTTTATAGAACAGAGTTCATATATAGTTATATATATAGTCACTTTAACTCTACCCACATGTACATATTGCCTCAACTGCCTCAACTGGCCGGTGCCCCCGCACATTGACTATGCAACGGTACCCCCCTGTATATATAGCCTCCCTACTGTCACTTTATTCTATTGTATATATAGCCTCCCTACTGTCACTTTATTTTTTACTTCTGCTCTTTTTTTCTCAACACTTTTTTGTTGTTGTTTTATTCTTACTTTTTTGTTTAAAATAAATGCACTGTTGGTTAAGGGCTGTAAGTAAGCATTTCACTGTAATGTCTGCACCTGTTGTATTCGGCGCATGTGACCAATAAAATTTGATTTGATTTGATTTGATAGTTTATAGAACAGAGTTAGTATATAGTTTATAGTATAGAGTTAGTATATAGTTTATAGTATAGAGTTAGTATATAGTTTATAGAACAGAGTTAGTATATAGTTTATAGTATAGAGTTAGTATATAGTTTATAGTATAGAGTTAGTATATAGTTTATAGTATAGAGTTAGTATATAGTTTATAGTATAGAGTTAGTATATAGTTTATAGAACAGAGTTAGTACAGTTAGTATATATAGTATATATATATATCCATTTTAATTCCAGGTTGTAAGGCAACAAAATAGGAAAAATGCCAAGGGGGTGAATACTTTCACAAGCACCTGTACCTAGCTCTTATCAATAGCTCTTATCAATAGCTCTTATCAAGTTGTAAATTACAGTGCATGGAGAATGGTGTTTTGTCTATCGGGAACAATAAAGTAGATGTTGTTCCACTTGGAACCGACAGGTTGGTCGACCTTATTCATCACAAGTAAAGGTGGTGGAAATATGAGGGAATTAAGTCCAGGTCAGAATACAGAATCTGTAGATACACATTTACATTTTAGTCATTTAGCAGACGCTCTTATCCCGAGCGACTTACAGTTAGTGAGTGCATACATTATTTTATTAATTTTTTCATACTGGCCCCCCGTGGGAATCGAACCCACAACCCTGGCGTTGCAAACGCCATGCTCTACCAACTGAGCTACATCCCTGCCGGCCATTCCCTCCCCTACCCTGGACGACGCTGGGCCAATTGTGCGCCGCCCCTTCATTAATACAGTGTATCTGTAGACACACCACCTCCACCACACCTTCATTAATACAGTGTATCTATAGACACACCTCCACCACACCTCCACCACACCTCCATTAATACAGTGTATCTGTAGACACACCTCCACCACACCTCCACCACACCTTCATTAATACAGTGTATCTGTAGACACACCTCCACCACACCTCCATTAATACAGTGTATCTGTAGACACACCTCCACCACACCTCCACCACACCTCCACCACACCTTCATTAATACAGTGTATCTGTAGACACACCTCCACCACACCTTCATTAATACAGTGTATCTATAGACACACCTCCACCACACCTCCACCACACCTCCATTAATACAGTGTATCTGTAGACACACCTCCACCACACCTCCACCACACCTCCACCACACCTCCATTAATACAGTGTATCTGTAGACACACCTCCACCACACCTCCACCACACCTCCACCACACCTTCATTAATACAGTGTATCTATAGACACACCTCCACCACACCTCCACCACACCTCCATTAATACAGTGTATCTATAGACACACCTCCACCACACCTTCATTAATACAGTGTATCTGTAGACACACCTCCACCACACCTCCACCACACCTCCATTAATACAGTGTATCTATAGACACACCTCCACCACACCTCCACCACACCTCCATTAATACAGTGTATCTGTAGACACACCTCCACCACACCTCCACCACACCTCCACCACACCTTCATTAATACAGTGTATCTATAGACACACCTCCACCACACCTACATTAATACAGTGTATCTGTAGACACACCTCCACCACACCTCCACCACACCTCCATTAATACAGTGTATCTATAGACACACCTCCACCACACCTCCATTAATACAGTGTATCTGTAGACACACCACCTCCACCACACCTTCATTTATTAGATCTCCACCTCTAATGAATAGCAGGTTATAGTGCTGTTGTAATGCTTCAGTTCAAGGTCTGATACGTAGAGAGGAAAGTCCATCAAAAGGGAAATACGTTCCATTTACAGGCACTGAACTCGGGTTGGAATTACGCCCCAGGAACCTAACTAAACTGGAATAGAGCTATCTGAATTTGTCCAATAAAAACTCTCATTTTCGTTGCAAAACGCAGCGGTCTGCTACGGTTTGGACTAATGATTACCTTACCCCCGGCTAGTGATTACCTTACCCCCGGCTAGTGATTACCTTACCCCCGGCTAGTGATTACCGTACCCCCGGCTAGTGATTACCTTACCCCCGGCTAGTGATTACCTTACCCCCGGCTAGTGATTACCGTACCCCCGGCTAGTGATTACCGTACCCCCGGCTAGTGATTACCGTACCCCCGGCTAGTGATTACCTTACCCCCGGCTAGTGATTACCTTACCCCCGGCTAAGCATTTCACGACACAAAGTAAGACTCATCCTCTTTATTGAAGCACTTGACTGCCAGGGACTCACTTGGTGTGGAATTAATACCAAGAGTCTATGGCAACATCAAACCCAAAACAACAATATATCCACTACATACAACACTGTACTGTGAAATGAATACAAATGCTGGAATGGTTATTCATACAGTATGTCCTCTTTCTAATAAAATATGATGAAACAAAAAGAAAAGCAATGTTGCTTTTGCTACATGGTGCAAAATTAAATTATTTACAATATCAAAGTACAAATTTACCCATAAAGCTGTATCGAAGGATTAATGTTTTGATGAAGAACTACTACAAAATGTTTATAAGATTAAGTTCCAATGGTTCTCTCTCCGAGACCTGTTCTCTGATTGGTTCAGGAGGAGGAAGTGGAGGAGGAGGTGGTGTGAACGGGGAGTTTTACATCTTGCTCTGTTTAACTTCTTGGTTGTGTTGCTCATCAACAGAATATCTCTTGTTGTTGTTACTCTCCATCTTAACGCTATCTCTCTTCTTCTTCTCCTCTGGCTCGTGTTGCAGCTGGCTGAACTTGGCCTCGATCTCCGCTGGGTCAGTGTAGGTGTAGAAATAGGACATGACAGCGAACACAATACACACCGCCACAAGGAGAGAGGCAAACAGGACGTACTCTGCCCACTGGAAGACACAGGGGTTAATATCAGTACTCTGTCCACTGGAACACACAGGGGTTAATATCAGTACTCTGCCCACTGGAAGACACAGGGGTTAATATCAGTACTCTGTCCACTGGAAGACACAGGGGTTAATATCAGTACTCTGTCCACTGGAAGACACAGGGGTTAATATCAGTACTCTGTCCACTGGAACACACAGGGGTTAATATCAGTACTCTGCCCACTGGAAGACACAGGGGTTAATATCAGTACTCTGTCCACTGGAACACACAGGGGTTAATATCAGTACTCTGCCCACTGGAAGACACAGGGGTTAATATCAGTACTCTGTCCACTGGAAGACACAGGGGTTAATATCAGTACTCTGTCCACTGGAACACACAGGGGTTAATATCAGTACTCTGTCCACTGGAAGACACAGGGGTTAATATCAGTACTCTGTCCACTGGAAGACACAGGGGTTAATATCAGTACTCTGTCCACTGGAAGACACAGACCCCAGGGTTTAGATATCAATGAACTTAGGCCAAATCTGACCTCGGTACAGTGGTCAGTATTGTTTAGGGGGTTGTATAGGGTTCTAGAGGTTAGAAGAGATGTAGTAACCTGATCTGGGAGCTGTGCTGCCTCGGCCACAATCAGCACTATGATGTTGCCCACGGCGACGGTGAACAGCCAACCAGCCTGCAGTACCGACTTCATGTTGCTAGGCGCCTGCGGAACAAGAAGAGATGTGCACAAGATTTTGGGGTTGAGATGAGAATTTAAACTTAATTGACAAAAGAAACAGATCTTAGTTGAGCTATGTTTGGATGAAAGAGAAGTTAAAGGCTAGTGTGACGGGACAGAGTGTCGCCCCCTACCTGTGAGTAGGAGAACTCCAGGCCAGTCACAGAGAACACCACCTCTCCAGCTGTCATGAGGAAGTACTGAGGGATCTGCCAGCCCATGTGGATGGTGTTGGGCTTGATGTCTTCTATCACCTGGATGGCCTGCCAACACTGGACACAGTAATCAACACATTCATCACCGTTACTACACAGTGGACACACGGCAAACAACAGAAAAAAACATGCTTTAAAACCCTGCCAAACAGTTCAACATGGGCCTTCAACAACGCAATCACACACAGTACATTGCTAGGGGGGTTGCTAGGGTGGTTAGCTGTCAGGGGTTAAAGGTTAGAGGACTTACATCAGGGCTGACGATGTCGAATGTGGACGGTATGACGAGGGTGAAGGCGCTGCCAAAGCCCAGCTCTTTAGAGTACAGACATGATGCACCAGCACGGTCCATGATGGTAAACCCTGCCCTGGGACACACGACAACCAATCACAACACACTCACTAAAGCTCTCTCTCTTCTCATGTGGTGTCTTCTGTGTCGTCGTTATCTCGCTCTCTAGATCCGTATCTCTCTCTATCTAGTCATGCGAGTGGTAGGAGAGTATCGAGGATCTCGATCCTCTCGCTATCCTATTCTTCTATCTTCTCGCTCTCTCTCTCTCTCTCTCTCTCTCTCTCTCTCTCTCTCTCTCTCCTCTCTCTCTCTCTCTCTCTCTCTCTGCTGTACAGTATGAATGTGTGTTGATATAAATAATTATAAAGCAGAAAGCCACTCACTTTCCCTGTGGAACCAGACTGTAGTTGGAGACAGACAGAGGAGCGATGTCACCGACTCCCAGCGTAACATTCAAGGCACTGCCCAAACCATTCACAAATCTACAACATGGAAGAGGAGAACAACAGGAACACTTTAGCTGGATAACTCATTGACCCTGCTTTGGACCCCTGACCCTAACCACTACTGGGTCCTGACCCTAACCACTACTGGGTCCTGACCCTAACCACTACTGGGTCCTGACCCTAACCACTACTGGGTCCTGACCCTAACCACTACTGGGTCCTGACCCTAACCACTACTGGGTCCTGACCCTAACCACTACTGGGTCCTGACCCTAACCACTACTGGGTCCTGACCCTAACCACTACTGGGTCTGTTGGTAACACTCAGGGTCCTGACCCTAACCACTACTGGGACTGTTGGTAACACTCGGGGTCCTGACCCTAACCACTACTGGGTCTGTTGGTAACACTCAGGGTCCTGACCCTAACCACTACTGGGACTGTTGGTAACACTCGGGGTCCTGACCCTAACCACTACTGGGACTGTTGGTAACACTCGGGGCCCTGACCCTAACCACTACTGGGACTGTTGGTAACACTCAGGGTCCTGACCCTAACCACTACTGGGACTGTTGGTAACACTCAGGGTCCTGACCCTAACCACTACTGGGTCTGTTGGTAACACTCAGGGTCCTGACCCCAACCTCTACTGGGACTGTTGGTAACACTCAGGGTCCTGACCCTAACCACTACGGGGACTGTTGGTAACACTCAGGGTCCTGACCCTAACCACTACGGGGACTGTTGGTAACACTCAGGGTCCTGACCCTAACCACTACTGGGTCTGTTGGTAACACTCGGGGTCCTGATCCTAACCACTACTGGGTCTGTTGGTAACACTCGGGGTCCTGACCCTAACCACTACTGGGACTGTTGGTAACACTCGGGGTCCTGACCCTAACCACTACTGGGACTGTTGGTAACACTCAGGGTCCTGACCCTAACCACTACGGGGACTGTTGGTAACACTCAGGGTCCTGACCCTAACCACTACTGGGACTGTTGGTAACACTCAGGGTCCTGACCCTAACCACTACTGGGTCTGTTGGTAACACTCAGGGTCCTGACCACAACCTCTACTGGGACTGTTGGTAACACTCGGGGTCCTGACCCTAACCACTACTGGGACTGTTGGTAACACTCGGGGTCCTGACCCTAACCACTACGGGGACTGTTGGTAACACTCAGGGTCCTGACCCTAACCACTACTGGGTCTGTTGGTAACACTCAGGGTCCTGACCCTAACCCTAACCCGGGGACTGTTGGTAACACTCAGGGTCCTGACCCTAACCACTACTGGGTCTGTTGGTAACACTCAGGGTCCTGACCCCAACCTCTACTGGGACTGTTGGTAACACTCAGGGTCCTGACCCTAACCACTACGGGGACTGTTGGTAACACTCAGGGTCCTGACCCTAACCACTACGGGGACTGTTGGTAACACTCAGGGTCCTGACCCTAACCACTACTGGGTCTGTTGGTAACACTCGGGGTCCTGATCCTAACCACTACTGGGTCTGTTGGTAACACTCGGGGTCCTGACCCTAACCACTACTGGGTCTGTTGGTAACACTCAGGGTCCTGACCCTAACCACTACGGGGTCTGTTGGTAACACTCGGGGTCCTGACCCTAACCACTACGGGGTCTGTTGGTAACACTCGGGGTCCTGACCCTAACCACTACTGGGTCTGTTGGTAACACTCGGGGTCCTGACCCTAACCACTACGGGGTCTGTTGTAACTGACCTGATGGCGTTCAGGCCCTCATCTGGCTTCTTGCTCAAGTCGTAAACCTGAAGAGAGACGACGAGAAGGAAACAGGAGGGGATGTTACATTCCTTAGTGGCTGATAGACTGATATCAACAACATGTATAGTGGCTGATAGACTGATATCAACAACATATATAGTGGCTGATAGACTGATATCAACAACATAAATAGTGGCTGATAGACTGATATCAACAACATGTATAGTGGCTGATAGACTGATATCAACAACATGTATAGTGGCTGACAGACTGATATCAACAACATGTATAGTGGCTGATAGACTGATATCAACAACAGACATAGTGACTGATATCAACAACATGTATAGTGGCTGATAGACTGATATCAACAACAGACATAGTGACTGATATCAACAACATGTATAGTGGCTGATAGACTGATATCAACAACATGTATAGTGGCTGATAGACTGATATCAACAACATGTATAGTGGCTGATAGACTGATATCAACAACATGTATAGTGGCTGATAGACTGATATCAACAACATGTATAGTGGCTGATATCAACAACATGTATAGTGGCTGATAGACTGATATCAACAACATGTATAGTGGCTGATAGACTGATATCAACAACATGTAGAGTGGCTGATAGACTGATATCAACAACATGTATAGTGGCTGATAAACTGATATCAACAACATGTATAGTGGCTGATAGACTGATATCAACAACATGTATAGTGGCTGATAGACTGATATCAACAACATGTATAGTGGCTGATAGACTGATATCAACAACATGTATAGTGGCTGATAGACTGATATCAACAACATGTATAGTGGCTGATAGACTGATATCAACAACATGTAGAGTGGCTGATATCAACAACATGTATAGTGGCTGATAGACTGATATCAACAACATGTATAGTGGCTGATATCAACAACATGTATAGTGGCTGATAGACTGATATCAACAACATGTATAGTGGCTGATAGACTGATATCAACAACATGTATAGTGGCTAATAGACTGATATCAACAACATGTATAGTGGCTGATAGACTGATATCAACAACATGTATAGTGGCTGATAGACTGATATCAACAACATGTATAGTGGCTAATAGACTGATATCAACAACATGTATAGTGGCTGATAGACTGATATCAACAACATGTATAGTGGCTGATAGACTGATATCAACAACATGTATAGTGGCTGATAGGCTGATATCAACAACATGTATAGTGGCTAATAGACTGATATCAACAACATGTATAGTGGCTAATAGACTGATATCAACAACATGTATAGTGGCTGATAGACTGATATCAACAACATGTATAGTGGCTGATAGGCTGATATCAACAACATGTATAGTGGCTAATAGACTGATATCAACAACATGTATAGTGGCTGATAGACTGATATCAACAACATGTATAGTGGCTGATAGACTGATATCAACAACATGTATAGTGGCTGATAGACTGATATCAACAACATGTATAGTGGCTGATAGACTGATATCAACAACATGTATAGTGGCTGATAGGCTGATATCAACAACATGTATAGTGGCTAATAGACTGATATCAACAACATGTATAGTGGCTGATAGACTGATATCAACAACATGTATAGTGGCTGATAGGCTGATATCAACAACATGTATAGTGGCTGATAGACTGATATCAACAACATGTATAGTGGCTGATAGACTGATATCAACAACATGTATAGTGGCTGATAGGCTGATATCAACAACATGTATAGTGGCTGATAGACTGATATCAACAACATGTATAGTGGCTGATAGGCTGATATCAACAACAGACATAGTGGCTGATAGACTGATATCAACAACATGTATAGTGGCTGATAGACTGATATCAACAACATGTAGAGTGGCTGATAGACTGATATCAACAACATGTATAGTGGCTGATATCAACAACATGTATAGTGGCTGATAGACTGATATCAACAACATGTAGAGTGGCTGATATCAACAACATGTATAGTGGCTGATAGACTGATATCAACAACATGTATAGTGGCTGATATCAACAACATGTATAGTGGCTGATAGACTGATATCAACAACATGTATAGTGGCTGATAGGCTGATATCAACAACATGTATAGTGGCTGATAGACTATCAACAACATGTATAGTGGCTGATAGACTGATATCAACAACATGTATAGTGGCTGATAGGCTGATATCAACAACATGTATAGTGGCTGATAGACTGATATCAACAACATGTATAGTGGCTGATAGGCTGATATCAACAACAGACATAGTGGCTGATAGACTGATATCAACAACATGTATAGTGGCTGATAGACTGATATCAACAACATGTAGAGTGGCTGATAGACTGATATCAACAACATGTATAGTGGCTGATATCAACAACATGTATAGTGGCTGATAGACTGATATCAACAACATGTAGAGTGGCTGATATCAACAACATGTATAGTGGCTGATAGACTGATATCAACAACATGTATAGTGGCTGATATCAACAACATGTATAGTGGCTGATAGACTGATATCAACAACATGTATAGTGGCTGATAGACTGATATCAACAACATGTATAGTGGCTGATAGACTGATATCAACAACATGTATAGTGGCTGATAGACTGATATCAACAACATGTATAGTGGCTGATAGGCTGATATCAACAACAGACATAGTGGCTGATAGACTGATATCAACAACATGTATAGTGGCTGATAGACTGATATCAACAACATGTATAGTGGCTGATAGGCTGATATCAACAACATGTATAGTGGCTGATAGGCTGATATCAACAACATGTATAGTGGCTGATAGACTGATATCAACAACATGTAGAGTGGCTGATATCAACATGTATAGTGGCTGATAGACTGATATCAACAACATGTAGAGTTGCTGATATCAACAACATGTATAGTGGCTGATAGACTGATATCAACAACATGTAGAGTGGCTGATATCAACAACATGTATAGTGGCTGATAGACTGATATCAACAACATGTAGAGTGGCTGATAGACTGATATCAACAACATGTATAGTGGCTGATAGACTGATATCAACAACATGTATAGTGGCTGATAGACTGATATCAACAACATGTATAGTGGCTGATAGACTGATATCAACAACATGTACAGTGGCTGATAGACTGATATCAACAACATGTATAGTGGCTGATAGACTGATATCAACAACATGTATAGTGGCTGATAGGCTGATATCAACAACATGTATAGTGGCTGATAGACTGATATCAACAACATGTATAGTGGCTGATAGACTGATATCAACAACACGTATAGTGGCTGATAGGCTGATATCAACAACACGTATAGTGGCTGATAGACTGATATCAACAACACGTATAGTGGCTGATAGACTGATATCAACAACACGTATAGTGGCTGATAGACTGATATCAACAACATATATAGTGGCTGATAGACTGATATCAGCAACACGTATAGTGGTGGCTGATAGACTGATATCAACAACATGTATAGTGGCTGATAGACTGATATCAACAACATGTATAGTGGCTGATTGATAGACTGATATCAACAACATGTATAGTGGCTGATAGACTGATATCAACAACATGTATAGTGGCTGATTGATAGACTGATATCAACAACATGTATAGTGGCTGATAGACTGATATCAACAACAGACATAGTGGCTGATAGACTGAGTCTTGGACTGAGACTAGAGCGGCAGATCAACTCAGGTCAAGACTAGAGTGGCAGATCCAATGACTATGTACCAAGCTCTGTTCTGTAGATTCATTTCATCAGACATTAGGAGTAAATATGGTAGAAAACTCACCACGTCCAGATCCAGGGTTGGAGAAACCAGGGCTGTGTGTCGGGTCTGAGACTTTAAGAGAAGTTCATACGTCGCTGACGCGTTCTTGTTGAACATGACTTTGACTGGTTTGTCAAACGTCAAATAGTCCCCAGAATTCACCTGAAGGAAGCAGGGAGGATCATGATCAGAATGTGTCTTCAATGACAGTACAGAATAGTTTTTGGGCAGCACTTGATATGAGAGTAGAGGCTAAATGACTTGCCTGGTGAGCAGGTACAGAGAAATCAGTTGTCCCGTCAATAGTAACAGTCAGCGGGGCGTTGTTGAGATTCAGGAACTTCACCTGGCCTGCCACACCTGAGGGCAGCTTGGGAAGGGTTTGCTGCAAGAACACATCTCAATTAAAACAAAACCTTAGCTCTCCGTTTCACTCTGCTTTGGTTTCTCTTTGTGTGTGTGTGTGTGTGTGTGTGTGTGTGTGTGTGTGTGTGTGTGTGTGTGTGTGTGTGTGTGTGTGTGTGTGTATACTCACATCAATCTGTAACTGCAGCAGGGCAGCGGCTACAAAAGCCAACGCAGCCATCAGCATCCCCACTGTCATCCTCTTTAGAGGCCTACACACACACACACACACACAGACACACACACAGACACACACACACACACAGACACACACACACACACACAGACACACACACACACACTGCTTGTGTTAACATGTTTGTGCGGACAAAGTGTGTACATGTGTTGTATCAGAAGCATCAGTTGTACAACCTGAAGCCCAGTGTGTGTGGCTGTATGATACTGCAGGGAGCACAACTCACGTGAAGTTCAGGTGGCATTTCTCTATGAGAGGGTAGAGCACGCTGTCCACGATGGGAACCAGGGCCAAGATCAGGATGGGGTTGACAGTCTGACAGAGACAGAGAGGAGACGGAGGAAGCAGTACATGGTAAGAGCATGTCACAGCTACAAATTATTGTACACTGCTAAAAAAAATAAAGGGAACACTTAAACAACACAATGTAACTCCAAGTCAATCACACTTCTGTGAAATCAAACTGTCCACTTAGGAAGCAACACTGATTGACAATACATTTCACATGCTGTTGTGCAAATGGAATAGACAACAGGTGGAAATTATAGGCAATTAGCAAGACACCCCCAATAAAGGACTGGTTTTGCAGGTGGTGACCACAGACCACTTCTCAGTTCCTATGCTTCCTGGCTGATGTTTTGGTCACTTTTGAATGCTGGCGGTGCTTTCACTCTAGTAGTAGCATGAGACGGAGTCTACAACCCACACAAGTGGCTCAGGTAGTGCAGCTCATCCAGGATGGCACATCAATGCGAGCTGTGGCAAGAAGGTTTGCTGTGTCTGTCAGCGTAGTGTCCAGAGCATGGAGGCGCTACCAGGAGACAGGCCAGTACATCAGGAGACGTGGAGGAGGCCGTAGGAAGGCAACAACCCAGCAGCAGGGCCGCTACCTCCGCCTTTGTGCAAGGAGGAGCAGGAGGAGCACTGCCAGAGCCCTGCAAAATGACCTCCAGCAGGCCACAAATGTGCATGTGTCTGCTCAAACGGTCAGAAACAGACTCCATGAGGGTGGTATGAGGGCCCGACGTCCACAGGTGGGGGTTGTGCTTACAGCCCAACACCGTGCAGAACGTTTGGCATTTGCCAGAGAACACCAAGATTGGCAAATTCGCCACTGGCGCCCTGTGCTCTTCACAGATGAAAGCAGGTTCACACTGAGCACATGTGACAGACGTGACAGAGTCTGGAGACGCCGTGGAGAACGTTCTGCTGCCTGCAACATCCTCCAGCATGACCGGTTTGGCAGTGGGTCAGTCATGGTGTGGGGTGGCATTTCTTTGGGGGGCCGCACAGCCCTCCATGTGCTCGCCAGAGGTAGCCTGACTGCCATTAGGTACCGAGATGAGATCCTCAGACCCCTTGTGAGACCATATGCTGGTGCGGTTGGCCCTGGGTTCCTCCTAATGCAAGACAATGCTAGACCTCATGTGGCTGGAGTGTGTCAGCAGTTCCTGCAAGAGGAAGGCATTGATGCTATGGACTGGCCCGCCCGTTCCCCAGACCTGAATCCAATTGAGCACATCTGGGACATCATGTCTCGCTCCATCCACCAACGCCACGTTGCACCACAGACTATCCAGGAGTTGGCAGATGCTTTAGTCCAGGTCTGGGAGGAGATCCCTCAGGAAACCATCCGCCACCTCATCAGGAGCATGCCCAGGCGTTGTAGGGAGGTCATACAGGCACGTGAAGGCCACACACACTACTGAGCCTCATTTTGACTTGTTTTAAGGACATTACATCAAAGTTGGATCAGCCTGTAGTGTGGTTTTCCACTTTAATTTTGAGTGTGACTCCAAATCCAGACCTCCATGGGTTGATACATTTGATTTCCATTGATAATTTTTGTGTGATTTTGTTGTCAGCACATTCAACTATGTAAAGAAAAAACTATTTAATAAGATTATTTCGTTCATTCAGATCTAGGATGTGTTATTTTAGTGTTCCCTTAATTTTTTTGAGCAGTGTATATATTTAAGCAATAAGTTCTGAGGGGGTGTGGTATATTTAAACAATAAGTTCTGAGGGGGTGTGGTATATTTAAACAATACGTTCTGAGGGGGTGTGGTATATTTAAACTATAAGGCCTGAGGGGGTGTGGTATATTGGCCAATATACCCCGGCTAAGGGCTGTTCTTATGCACGATGCAAAGCAGATTTAGTCCTTAGCAGTGGTATATTGGCCAGATACCACAAAAATATATTTTATATTTGAGATTCTTCAAAGTAGTCACCCTTTGCCTTGATGACAGCTTTGCACACTCTTGGCATTCTCTCAACCAGCTTCATGAGGTAGTCACCTGGAATGCATTTCAATTAACAGGTGTGCCTTGTTAAAAGTTAATTTGTGGAATTTCTTTCCTTCTTAGTGCGTTTGAGCCAATCAGTTGTGTTGTGACAAGGTAGGGGTGGTATACAGAAGATAGCCCTATTTGGTAAAAGACCAAGTACATATTATGGCAAGAACAGCTCAAATAAGCAAAGAGAAACGACAGTCCATCATTACTTTAAGACATGAAGGACAGTCAATCCGGAAAATGTCAAGAACTTTGAAAGTTTCTTCAAGTGCAGTCGCAAAAACCATCAAGCGCTATGATGAAACTGGCTCTCATGAAGACCGCCACAGGAAAGGAAGACCCAGAGTTACCTCTGCTGCAGAGGATAAGTTCATTAGAGTTAACTACACCTCAGATTGCAGCCCAAATAAATGCTTCACAGAGTTCAAGTAACAGACACATCTCAACATCAACTGTTCAGAGGAGACTGCGTGAATCAGGCCTTCACGGTCGAATTGCTGCAAAGAAACCACTACTAAAGGACACCAATAAGACGAAGAGACTTGCTTGGGCCAAGAAACACAAGCAATGGACATTAGACCAGTGGAAATCTGGCCTTTGGTCTGATGAGTACAAATTTGAGATTTTTGGTTCCAACCGCCGTGTCTTTGTGAGACGCAGAGTAGGTGAATGGATGATCTCCACATGTGTGGTTCCCACCGTGAAGCATGGAGGAGGAGGTGTGACGGTGTGGGGGTGCTTTGCTGGTGACACTGTCAGTGATTTATTTAGAATTCAAGGCACACTTAACCAGCATGGCTACCACAGCATTCTGCAGCGATACGCCATCCCATCTGGTTTGGGCTTAGTGGGACTATCATTAGTTTTTCAACAGGACAATGACCCAAAACACACCTCCAGGCTGTGTAAGGGCTATTTGACCAAGGAGAGTGATGGAGTGCTGCATCAGATGACCTGACCTCCACAATCCCCCGACCTCAACCCAATTGCGATGGTTTGGGATGGTTGGACCGCAGAGTGAAGGAAAAGCAGCCAACAAGTGCTCAGCATATGTGGGGAACTCCTTTCAAGATGTTGGAAAGCAATCCTCATGAAACTGGTTGAGAGAATGCCAAGAAGTGTGCAAAGTGTCATCAAGGCAAAGGGTGGCTATTTGAAGAATGATTAAAAATAAAATATATTTTGATTTGTTTTAACACTTTTTTGGTTACTACATGATTCCGTATGTTGTATTTCATAGTTTTGATGTCTTCACTATTATTCTACAATGTAAAAAATAGTAAAAATAAAGAAAAACATGGATGACTAGGTGTGTCCAAACTTTTGACTGGTACTGTAGTTTATAGTATAGAGTTAGTATAGTTAGTATATAGAGTTAGTATATAGTTTATATAGTTAGTATAGTTAGTATAGAGAGTTAGTATATAGTTTATAGAGTTAATTATATTTAGTATGATGAGAGTTAGTTAGTATATGTTTATGAGTTGTATATAGTATTAGAGTTGTATTGTTTATAGGTTAGTTATTGTATTTATAAGAGTTAGTATATAGTTATAGAGTTAGTTATGTTATCAGAGTTAGTATAGTTGTTAAGAGGTTAGTATATAAGTTTATTTTAGAGTTAGTATATAGTTTATAGATTGTATATAGTTTTAGAGTTATATATAGTTATGGAGTTAGTCTATAGTTTTAGAGTTAGTAATGTATAGAGAGCTAGTATATAGTTTACAGAGTAGTATGTTATAGATTAGTATATGTTTTAGAGTTAGTATATATTAGAGAGTTAGTATATGTTTATAGAGTTAGTATAGTTATATAGAGTAGTAATAGTTATAGAGTAGTATAAGTATTAGGTTAGTATATAGTTTATAGAGTTAGTATATAGTATAGAGAGTTAGTATATAGTTATAGAGTAGTATTAGTATGGGTTTATATAGTTATAAGTTAGTATATAGTATAGAGAGCTAGTATATAGTTTACAGAGTTAGTATAGTTAGTATAGAGATAGTATATAGTTTATAGAGTTAGTATATAGTTTATAGAGTTAGTATATAGTTTATAGAGTTAGTATTAGTATAGAGAGTTAGTATATAGTTATGAGTTGTATATGTATAGAGAGCTAGTATATAGTTTTACAGAGTTGTATAGTTAGTTAGAGAGTTAGTATTGTAGTATATAGAGTTAGTATATCGTTTAGAGTTTAGTATATAGTTTATAGAGTTAGTATAGTTAGTATAGAGAGTTAGTATATTGTTTATAGAGTTAGTATATATAGTATAGAGAGTTAGTATATAGTGTTTATAGAGTTAGTATATAGTTTATAGAGTTAGTATAGTTAGTATAGAGAGTTAGTATATAGTTTATAGAGTTAGTATATAGTATAGAGTTAGTATATAGTTTATAGAGTTAGTATAGTTAGTATAGAGAGTTAGTATATAGTTTATAGAGTTAGTATAGTTAGTATAGAGAGTTAGTATATGGTTTATAGAGTTAGTATAGTATATAGAGTTAGTATATAGTTTATAGAGTTAGTCTAGTTAGTATAGAGAGTTAGTTATAATTTATAGAGTTAGTATAGTTAGTTAGAGAGTTAGTTATGTTTATGGTTAGATATGAGTTAGTATATGTTTATAGAGTTAGTTATAGTTAGTATAGAGAGTTGTATAGTTTATGTTAGTTATAGAGTTCGTATTGTATATAGAGTTGATATTAGTTTTAGAGTTAGTATATAGTATGAGAGTTAGTATATGAGTCAGTTAGTTAGTATTGTGGAGTTTTATAGTTGTATAGAGAGTTAGTATATAGTTTATAGCGTTGTTCTAGTTTATAGAGTTGTATGTTCTATAGAGCGTTAGTCATCGTTATTATGAGAGTTAGTATAGTTTATAGCGAGTTAGTATAGTTAATATAGAGAGTTAGTATCGTTAGTATAGAGCAGTTGTTAGTTCGTATAGCAGCGTTAGTTGTTGTCTCGACGCGTTAGTATTAGTTTATACGAGTTCGTATAGTTAATCATAGGAGTTAGTATCGTTAGTCTAGAGAGTTTTTAGTTGTCTAGAGGTTAGTTAGTTAGTTAGAGAGTTAGTCTAGTTAGTATAGCGCGTTATTATGTTGTCGAGTTATTTATTAGTATGGTTAGTCTGAGTGTTCAGAGTTCTATAGTAGTATAGTTTTTATAGTTAGTATAGGCGTTAGTATAGTTAGTATAGAGAGTCGTCTAGTTAGTATAGAGAGTTAGTATAGTTAGTATAGAGAGTTGTTAGTTAGTATCAGAGTGTGTTGATAGTGTTATAGTTAGTTAGGGTTCAGTTGTATATAGAGAGTTAGTTGTTAGTTTAGAGAGTTCGTATAGTTGTATAGAGACGTTAGTCTAGTTCATATGAGCGTTAGTTTAGTTATAGAGAGTTAGTATAGTTGTATGAGAGTTGTATAGTTTAGATTAGTATAGTTAGTATAGAGAGTTGTATAGTTAATATAGGAGTTAGTATAGTTAGTTAGAGAGTTAGTTCAGTGTTTAGAGAGTTAGTATGTTCGTATCGAGAGTTGTATAGTTAGTATAGAGAGTTAGTATAGTTTAAGAGTTACATATTGTTTATGGTCATTTGTTAGTATAGAGAGTTAGTATAGTTAGTATAGCGGTTAGTCTAGTTAGTATCGGAGTTAGTTCTTATTAGGAGTGTATAGTTCGTATCGGAGTTGTCTAGTTCGTTACGATTCGTTTAGTTTCTCGTTAGTATAGTTTAGTATAGAGAGTTTTATGTTCGTATAGAGGTTAGTATAGTTATATAGAGCGTTAGTATGTTAATTGAGAGTTAATACATAGTTTTGAGTCATTCTGTTAGTTCGACGAGTTAGTCTCGTTCGTATAGACGAGTTGTATGTTCGTATAGAGAGTTGTCTCGTTAGTCTAGACGAGTTCGTTAGTTAGTTAGAGCGTTGTTAGTTCAGTATAGAGAGTTGTATAGTTAATTAGAGAGTTGTTAGTTGTTAGAGAGTTAGTTATCGTTAGTATAGAGGTTGTATAGTTAGTATGGAGTTAGTATAGTTGTATCGGCGTTAGTATCGTAGTTAGGAGTAGTTAGTTATAGGGTTAGTAATAGTTTATAGATTAGTCTCGTTGTATAGATTTATAGTTAGCTTAGAGAGTTAGTATGTTCGTATGAGTTAGTTGTTAGTATAGGAGTTCGTATAGTTCGTATATAGAGTTAGTATAGTTAATATATAGAGTTAGTATAGTTAGTATAGGAGTTAGTATACGTTAGTTATAGAGTTAGTATAGTTAGTATAGAGAGTTAGTATATTAATATAGAGAGTTAATATAGTTTTAGAGTCATTATAGTTAGTATAGAGAGTTAGTTAGTTAGTATGATAGTTAGTTAGTTAGTATAGATAGTTAGTATATAGTTAGAGAGTTGTTAGTTAGTATAGGGTTAGTCTAGTTAATATAGAGAGTTCTTATATAGTTTTAGCAGTTCGTTTATAGAGTAGTTAGTAGTATAGAGTTAGTATAGTTAGTATAGAGAGTTAGTATAGTTAGTATAGAGAGTTAGTATAGTTAGTATAGAGAGTTAGTATAGTTAATATAGAGAGTTAGTATATAGTTTATAGAGTCATTATAGTTAGTATAGAGAGTTAGTATAGTTAGTATAGATAGTTAGTATAGTTAGTATAGATAGTTAGTATAGTTAGTATATAGAGTTAGTATAGTTAGTATATAGAGTTAGTATAGTTAGTATAGAGAGTTAGTATAGTTAGTATAGAGAGTTAGTATAGTTAGTATAGAGAGTTAGTATAGTTAATATAGAGAGTTAGTATAGTTAGTATATAGAGTTAGTATAGTTAGTATATAGAGTTAGTATAGTTAGTATAGAGAGTTAGTATAGTTAGTATAGAGAGTTAGTATAGTTAGTATATAGAGTTATTATAGTTAGTATAGAGAGTTAGTATATAGAGTTAGTATATAGTATATAGAGTCAGTATAGTTAGTATATAGAGTTAGTATAGTTAATATATAGAGTTAGTATATAGTATATAGAGTCAGTATAGTTAGTATAGAGAGTTATTATATTTAGTATAGTGAGTTAGTATAGTTAGTATAGAGAGTTATTATAGTTAGTATAGAGAGTTAGTATAGTTAGTATATAGAGTTAGTATAGTTAGTATAGAGAGTTAGTATAGTTAGTATAGAGAGTTAGTATAGTTAGTATAGAGAGTTAGTATAGTTAGTATATAGAGTCAGTATAGTTAGTATATAGAGTTAGTATAGTTAATATATAGAGTTAGTATATAGTATATAGAGTTAGTATAGTTAGTATAGAGAGTTATTATAGTTAGTATATAGAGTTAGTATATAGTATATAGAGTCAGTATAGTTAGTATAGATAGTTAGTATAGTTAGTATATAGAGTTAGTATAGTTAGTATATAGAGTTAGTATAGTTAGTATATAGAGTTAGTATAGTTAGTATATAGAGTTAGTATAGTTAGTATAGAGAGTTAGTATAGTTAGTATATAGAGTTAGTATAGTTAGTATAGAGAGTTATCATATAGAGATAGGGGACGTGGCTAACCTGCATCTGATCTGGCTGCACAATGAGAATTCCCTGCAGAGGAGAAACAGCAGTTATTTAAACGTTTCCTTGGGTGTCTTTAATTCAGTTAAACGTGTCTTTGGGTGTCTTTAATATTGAATTCAAATAGAATTGATCACTAGTGTTATGTCATTGTTGTTTGTGAGGGTTGAAAAACACTTACAAAGTTTCCGTCCATGGTGGTGGCCTGGAGGGTCCATCTGGAGCCCTGGGGAGGGGACACAGTTGATTAGGAGGATCTCAACTTCCTTAAAATACTGTCCCAGTCTACTGCCAGGGTGTAGTCAGTGATTCCAGCTGTTTAGGAGGATCCTATAGTTAGTATAGAGTTAGATCCTTTAAATACTGTCCCAGTCTACTGCCAGGGTGTAGTCAGTGATTCCGTGGCACAGCTGTTGTGCACAAAGTATTTACAAAGTATCTGTTCATATAATATGCCATTTAGCAGGGCTGTTTGGGTTAGGGGTTAGGGTGAGTAGTCTTCGGGGTTAGGGTGAGTAGTCTTAGGGGTTAGGGGTTAGGGTGAGTAGTCTTAGGGGTTAGGGTGAGTATTCTTAGGGGTTAGTTTAGGGGTTAGGGCAGTGGTTGCCAAACTTTTTTGGCCCATGACCCCATTTTGATCCCCCCCCAAAAAATGTGGACCCACTGCCCTAACCCATAAACTAATCCCTAAGACTACTCAGCCTAACCCCTAACCCCTAAGCAACGGACAATGTTTCCTTCCGTTGGGGGGGGGTGATAGTTTTAAGATGGTCATACCGTAGATAATTTAGCTATTTGATTTTGAATTTGAGGACCCTTTTAGGTATCAAAAATATATATATTTAATTTGGCCTTTACTACTGTAGCCCACAGAATGGCGCTGAATAACACATTCAGAAATGGCAAGAAAATAAAACACGATTAAAAACATGAATCCTAAGGAATGTCTGTTCTATATCTGGGAGATATAAGAAAGATCAGGAAATATTTATACACATTTTTTGTACACATATTTAACCCCATTTTTGGGGTTGGCACCAAACTACCTCCATACTCCTTACTGTAACCAGCGGCTGTAATCTGGTTCAGGTTATTAATCAACCTACCAGGGTGTTTACAAACACTACAGGAACAACATCATCCACATGTATCGATCACATTTTTAGTAATACTGTAGAACTTTGTTCTGAAGCTGTATCCGTACCCATTGGATGCAGTGATCACAATATAGTGGCTATATCCAGGAAAGACAAAGTTCCAAAAGCTGGGCCTAAAATAGTATATAAGAGATCATACAAAAGATTCTGCTGTGACTCTTATGTGGATGATATTAAAAATATTTGTTGGTCTGATGTGATTAATAAGGAGCATCCAGACGCTGCACTTGATGAATTTATGAAATTGCTTCTTCCAATTATTGATAAACATGCACCTGTTAGGAAACTAACTGTTAGAGCTGTTAAGGCTCCATGGATTGATGAGGAATTGATAAACTGTCTGGTTGAAAGAGTCGGGGCAAAAGGAGTGGCTAATAAGTCTGGCTGCACATCTGACTGGCTGACTTACTGCAAATAGAGAAATTATGTGACTTAACTCAACAAAAAGAAGAAGAAACCGTATTATGAAGCAAAGATCAATAATATAAAGAATGATAGAAAAAAACTTTTGAGTTCTTTAAATGGAATTATGGGCAGAAAGACCAATTCAACTCCATCTTTCATCGAATCAGATTGCTTTTTCATCACAAAACCATTTGATGTTGGCAATTATTTTAATGATTACTTCATTGGCAAAGTGGGCAAACTTAGGCAGGAAATGCCAACAATGAACAGTGAGCCATTGTATTCACGTATAAAAAAAACAAATAATGAAAGAAAAGCATTGCAAGTTAGAATTTTGTAAAGTTAGTGTGGGAGAGGTGGAAAAATTATTGACAAACCTCCTGGCATTGACAACTTAGATGGATGTCACGCCCTGGCCTTGAGAGGCCGGTTGTCTTTAGTTGGTTTGGTCAGGGCGTCAGTATCTATGTTAGAATTTCTAGGTTTAGGTTCTAGTTTTCCTATTTCTATGTCTGGCCGGGTATGATTCCCAATCAGAGGCAGCTGTCGCTCATTGTCTCTGATTGGGGATCATACTTAGGTAGCCCATTGCCTGCTGTGTATTGTGGGATCTTGTTCCTGTTCGGCTGGTGTGTGTATAGCCCTTTGGACTTCACGTTACGTTGTTTCTTGTTTTGTTGTATGTTTATTTGAGTTAATAAACATGTACGCTTTGCACGCTGCACCTTGGTCCGACCCGTCTCTCAACGTTCGTGACAATGGAAAGCTACTGAGGATGGTAGCTGACTCTATAGCCACTCCTATCTGTCATATCTTTAATCTGAGCCTAGAGGAAAGTCTTTGTCCTCAGGCCTGGAGGGAAGCCAAAGTAATTATGCTACCCAAGAGTGGTAAAGCGGCCTTTACTGGTTCTAACAGCAGACCTATCAGCTTGCTGCCAGCTCTTAGCAAAATGTTGGAAAAAATTGTGTTTGACCAAATACAATGCTATTTCTCTGTAAACAAATTAACAACAGACTTTCAGCATGCTTATAGGGAAGGGCACTCAACATGTACTGCACTGACACAAATGACTGATTGAAATTGATAAGAAATTGATAAGAAATCGATAATAAGAAGATTGTGGGAGCTGTAATGTTAGATTTCAGTGCAGCCTTTGATATTATTGACCATAACCTGTTGTTGAAAAAACGTATGTGTTATGGCTTTTCAACCTCTGCCATATCTTGGATTCAGAGCTATCTCTCTAATAGAACTCAAACGTTTTTCTTTAATGCAATTATTTGGCGTTACCTTAGATTGTAAACTATCATGGTCAAAACATATAGATTCAATGATTGCAAAGATGGGGAAAGGTCTGTCCGTAATAAAGAGATGCTCTGCTTTTTTGACACCACACTCCAAAAAGCAAGTCCTGCAGGCTCTAGTTTTGTCAAATCTTGATTATTGTCCAGTCGTGTGGTCAAGTGCTGCAAGGAAAGACCTAGTTAAGCTGCAGCTGGCCCAGAACAGAGCGGCACGTCTTGCTCTTCACTGTAATCAGAGGGCTGATATAAATACTATGCATGCCAGTCTCTCTTAGCTAAGAGTTGAAGAGAGACTGACTACATCACTTTTTCTTTTTATAAGAAACATTGTGTTGAAAATCCCAAATTGTTTGCATAGTCAACTTACACACAGCTCTGACACACACACGTACCCCACCAGACATGCCACCAGGGGTCTTTTCACAGTCCACAAATCCAGAACAAATTCAAGAAAGCGTACAGTGTTATATAGAACCATTATTGTATGGAACTCTGTTCCATCTCATATTGCTCAAATAAACAGCAAACCTGGTTTAAAAAAAAACAGATAAAGCAACACCTCACGGCACAACGCCTCTCCCCTATTTGACCTAGATAGTTTGTGTGTATGTATTGATATGTAGGCTACGTGTGCCTTTTAAAAAAATGTATGTAGTTCTGTCCTTGAGCTGTTCTTGTCTATTAATGTTCTGTATTATGTCATGTTTCATGTTTTGTGTGGACCCGAGGAAGAGTAGCTGCTGCTTTTGCAACAGCTAATGGGGATCCTAATAAAATACCAAATACCAAATACTTCCATTCATTTTTCAAACCAGTATTGGTTTCCTTCAGACGAAGCGTCTCATGGCCTGACAAACAGCGCTCTAGCTCTGCCAACTTTCACCGCAGATGTTGAACATCGGCGGATGATCGGATTGAGACGCATCCAATGCAAAAAGTATCTCTAGCTTAAACTGATATCTGTAATTTAAACAGATCTCTCTAGCTTAAACAGATCTCTCTAGCTTAAACAGATCTCTCTAGCTTAAACAGATCTCTCTAGCTTAAACTGATATCTCTAGCTTAAACAGATCTCTCTAATGTAAACATATCACTCTAGCTTAAACAGATCTCTCTAGCTTAAACAGATCTCTCTAGCTTAAACTGATATCTCTAGCTTAAACTGATATCTCTAGCTTACACAGATCTCTCTATTTTAAACTGATCTCTCTAGCTTAAACGGTTATCTCTAGTTTAAACAGATATCTCTAGCTTAAACATATCTCTCTATCTTAAACAGATCTCTATAGCTTAAACAGATATTTATATATTAAACAGATATCTCTATCTTAAACGGATCTCTATAGCTTAAACAGATCTCTCTATCTTAAACAGATCTCTATAGCTTAAACTGATATCTCTATTTTAAACTGATCTCTTTAGCTTAAACAGATATCCCTAGCTTAAACAGATCTCTCTAGCTCAAATAGATATATTTAGCTTAAACAGATATCTATCTTAAACTGACAGATTTCGAAGGGGATTTTTTTATTGTGTTAATTAAATGTACGGGTTTAGGGTTAGGGTTCTTACCTGTTGGTCAAACAGAGTCCAGAACATGGGAAGGGGGATGTAGAGAAACAGAACCTTCAGCACCATCTTCACCTGGGCCACCAGCAGTTTCTGGATGAGAGGAGGAGGAGGAGGAGAAAAAGAGAGGAAGAGGAGGAGAGGAGGAGGAAGAGGAAGAGGAGGAGGAGAGGTAGAGTAGAGAAAAGGGGAGAGCGAAAGAGGAGAGCATAGAGGAGGAGAAGCCGAAGTTCCTTGTCTTCTTCCTCTCCGTCTCTCCGTCTTCTCTCCCCTCTTCTCCTTCTTTCTTCGTCTCTTCCTGCTTCATCTCTTCTCGCTCTTTCTTTTGTCTTTAGCGGAGATGAAGATGAGCGAGGCAGATTTTCTGAATTTTTCTCCTGCATTGTAAACATCCTTCAGTTGACTTTAATTTTCAACAGCTATATGAACTGCTATTTTGGTAGTGTTGGTTTTTCCCATAGAACAGTGAACATGGACCTACATCATATTTCTCATCGGCCCAGTCCATCCAGTGTTCTCTCTTAGGGAACTTCTTGCTGCGATGCCTGAAGCGGTTCTTTATGGCAAACTAGAGGGGAGAGATAGAACACACAAACACTTAATAGCTCTGCTCAAAACCAGACATTCACATCATGGAGAGTTTCACATGGAAAGATATGACTCTGGAAATCTCCTACTGTCTGGATGTTAATAGACTGTCTTATCCCCTTACTGTCTGTATGTTAATAGACTGTCTTACCCCCTTACTGTCTGGATATTAATAGACTGTCTTACCCCCTTACTGTCTGGATGTTATTAGACTGTCTTACCCCCTTACTGTCTGTATGTTAATAGACTGTCTTACCCCCTTACTGTCTTTATGTTAATAGACTGTCTTACCCCCTTACTGTCTTTATGTTAATAGACTGTCTTACCCCCTTACTGTCTGGATGTTAATAGACTGTCTTACCCCCTTACTGTCTTTATGTTAATAGACTGTCTTACCCCCTTACTGTCTTTATGTTAATAGACTGTCTTACCCCCTTACTGTCTTGATGTTAATAGACTGTCTTACCCCCTTACTGTCTGGATGTTAATAGACTGTCTTACCCCCTTACTGTCTGGATGTTATTAGACTGTCTTACCCCCTTACTGTCTGGATGTTAATAGACTGTCTTACCCCTTACTGTCTTTATGTTAATAGACTGTCTTACCCCCTTACTGTCTGGATGTTAATAGACTGTCTTACCCCCTTACTGTCTTTATGTTAATAGACTGTCTTACCCCCTTACTGTCTGGATGTTAATAGACTGTCTTACCCCCTTACTGTCTGGATGTTAATAGACTGTCTTACCCCCTTACTGTCTGGATGTTAATAGACTGTCTAATCCCCTTACTGTCTGGATGTTAATAGACTGTCTTACCCCCTTACTGTCTGGATGTTATTAGACTGTCTTACCCCCTTACTGTCTGGATGTTAATAGACTGTCTTACCCCCTTACTGTCTTTATGTTAATAGACTGTCTTACCCCCTTACTGTCTGGATGTTATTAGACTGTCTTACCCCCTTACTGTCTGGATGTTAATAGACTGTCTTACCCCCTTACTGTCTTTATGTTAACAGACTGTCTTACCCCCTTACTGTCTTTATGTTAATAGACTGTCTTACCCCCTTACTGTCTGGATGTTAATATACTGTCTTACCCCCTTACTGTCTGGATGTTATTAGACTGTCTTACCCCCTTACTGTCCGGATGTTAATAGACTGTCTTACCCCCTTACTGTCTGGATGTTAATAGACTGTCTTACCCCCTTACTGTCTGGATGTTATTAGACTGTCTTACCCCCTTACTGTCTGGATGTTATTAGACTGTCTTACCCCCTTACTGTCTGGATGTTATTAGACTGTCTTACCCCCTTACTGTCTGGATGTTAATAGACTGTCTTACCCCCTTACTGTCTTTATGTTAATAGACTGTCTTACCCCCTTACTGTCTGGATGTTATTAGACTGTCTTACCCCCTTACTGTCCGGATGTTAATAGACTGTCTTACCCCCTTACTGTCTGGATGTTAATAGACTGTCTTACCCCCTTACTGTCTGGATGTTAATAGACTGTCTTACCCCCTTACTGTCTGGATGTTATTAGACTGTCTTACCCCCTTACTGTCTGGATGTTATTAGACTGTCTTACCCGCTTACTGTCTGGATGTTATTAGACTGTCTTACCCCCTTACTGTCTGGATGTTAATAGACTGTCTTACCCCCTTACTGTCTTTATTTTAATAGACTGTCTTACCCCCTTACTGTCTGGATGTTATTAGACTGTCTTACCCCCTTACTGTCCGGATGTTAATAGACTGTCTAATCCCTTACTGTCTGGATGTTAATAGACTGTCTTACCCCCTTACTGTCTGGATGTTAATAGACTGTCTTACCCCCTTACTGTCTGGATGTTATTAGACTATCTTACCCCCTTACTGTCTGTATGTTAACAGACTGTCTTACCCCCTTACTGTCTGTATGTTAATAGACTGTCTTACCCCCTTACTGTCTGTATGTTATTAGACTGTCTTACCCCCTTACTGTCTGGATGTTATTAGACTGTCTTACCCCCTTACTGTCTGGATGTTAATAGACTGTCTTACCCCCTTACTGTCTGGATGTTAATAGACTGTCTTACCCCCTTACTGTCCGGATGTTAATAGACTGTCTTACCCCCTTACTGTCTGGATGTTAATAGACTGTCTTACCCCCTTACTGTCTGGATGTTAATAGACTGTCTTACCCCCTTACTGTCTGGATGTTAATAGACTGTCTTACCCCCTTACTGTCTGGATGTTAATAGACTGTCTTACCCCCTTACTGTCTGGATGTTAATAGACTGTCTTACCCCCCTTACTGTCTGGATGTTAATAGACTGTCTTACCCCCTTACTGTCTGGATGTTAATAGACTGTCTTACCCCCTTACTGTCTGGATGTTAATAGACTGTCTTACCCCTTACTGTCTGGATGTTATTAGACTATCTTACCCCCTTACTGTCTGTATGTTAACAGACTGTCTTACCCCCTTACTGTCTTTATGTTAATAGACTGTCTTACCCCCTTACTGTCTGGATGTTAATAGACTGTCTTACCCCCTTACTGTCTGGATGTTATTAGACTGTCTTACCCCCTTACTGTCCGGATGTTAATAGACTGTCTTACCCCCTTACTGTCTGGATGTTAATAGACTGTCTTACCCCCTTACTGTCTGGATGTTATTAGACTGTCTTACCCCCTTACTGTCTGGATGTTATTAGACTGTCTTACCCCCTTACTGTCTGGATGTTATTAGACTGTCTTACCCCCTTACTGTCTGGATGTTAATAGACTGTCTTACCCCCTTACTGTCTTTATGTTAATAGACTGTCTTACCCCCTTACTGTCTGGATGTTATTAGACTGTCTTACCCCCTTACTGTCCGGATGTTAATAGACTGTCTTACCCCCTTACTGTCTGGATGTTAATAGACTGTCTTACCCCCTTACTGTCTGGATGTTAATAGACTGTCTTACCCCCCTTACTGTCTGGATGTTATTAGACTGTCTTACCCCCTTACTGTCTGGATGTTATTAGACTGTCTTACCCGCTTACTGTCTGGATGTTATTAGACTGTCTTACCCCCTTACTGTCTGGATGTTAATAGACTGTCTTACCCCCCTTACTGTCTTTATTTTAATAGACTGTCTTACCCCCTTACTGTCTGGATGTTATTAGACTGTCTTACCCCCTTACTGTCCGGATGTTAATAGACTGTCTAATCCCTTACTGTCTGGATGTTAATAGACTGTCTTACCCCCTTACTGTCTGGATGTTAATAGACTGTCTTACCCCCTTACTGTCTGGATGTTATTAGACTATCTTACCCCCTTACTGTCTGTATGTTAACAGACTGTCTTACCCCCTTACTGTCTGTATGTTAATAGACTGTCTTACCCCCCTTACTGTCTGTATGTTATTAGACTGTCTTACCCCCTTACTGTCTGGATGTTATTAGACTGTCTTACCCCCTTACTGTCTGGATGTTAATAGACTGTCTTACCCCCTTACTGTCTGGATGTTAATAGACTGTCTTACCCCCTTACTGTCCGGATGTTAATAGACTGTCTTACCCCCTTACTGTCTGGATGTTAATAGACTGTCTTACCCCCTTACTGTCTGGATGTTAATAGACTGTCTTACCCCCTTACTGTCTGGATGTTAATAGACTGTCTTACCCCCCTTACTGTCTGGATGTTAATAGACTGTCTTACCCCCTTACTGTCTGGATGTTAATAGACTGTCTTACCCCCTTACTGTCTGGATGTTAATAGACTGTCTTACCCCCTTACTGTCTGGATGTTAATAGACTGTCTTACCCCCTTACTGTCTGGATGTTAATAGACTGTCTTACCCCTTACTGTCTGGATGTTATTAGACTATCTTACCCCCTTACTGTCTGTATGTTAACAGACTGTCTTACCCCCTTACTGTCTGTATGTTATTAGACTGTCTTACCCCCTTACTGTCTGGATGTTAATAGACTGTCTTACCCCCTTACTGTCTGGATGTTAATAGACTGTCTTACCCCTTACTGTCTGTATGTTAATAGACTGTCTTACCCCCTTACTGTCTGGATGTTAATAGACTGTCTTACCCCCTTACTGTCTGGATGTTAATAGACTGTCTTACCCCGATGCACTTGCAGACCTCCAGCATAATGTTGCCTTTAGGAGCAGTCTTGTTGTACATGCCACTGCCAACGATGAACACGACTGTGGAAACACAGAGAGACATCCGCCTCTGTTAACTAAACAGAGAGTCATAGATGAGATACAGTGGACAGACAGACAGAGTTCAGATCAATACTGATGAATGTTAGGAAGGAAGCAACTCCATGAAGTGTAAACGAGGTCAGGGTTAGGAAACGAGGGTAACAGAACTCACTGAGAGCCACCACCATCAGGGCTGCCGGGACGCCGAAGGCCAGAGGATAGCACTTCTGTTGAGAGTGGATACCACACTCCTGGCCTGGCGGAGGGGACACACACATGGTGTTGGGTTATTGTGGTATTGGATGTAGAAACTGTCCATATTCCACAGGCATAATGATAGTAATGTAAAGGCTGACCAGGTTAATGTTAGTTTAGGGTTAGTAATGTAAAGGCTGACCAGGTTAATGTTAGTTTAGGGTTAGTAATGTAAAGGCTGACCAGGTTAATGTTAGTTTAGGGTTAGTAATGTAAAGGCTGACCAGGTTAATGTTATTAGGGTTAGTAATGTAAGGCTGACCAGTTAATGTTAGTTTAGGGTTAGTAATGTAAGGCTGACCAGGTTAATGTTAGTTTAGGGTTAGTAATGTAAAGGCTGACCAGGTTAATGTTAGTTTAGGGTTAGTAATGTAAAGGCTGACCAGGTTAATGTTAGTTTAGGGTTAGTAATGTAAAGGCTGACCAGGTTAATGTTAGTTTAGGGTTAGTAATGTAAAGGCTGACCAGGTTAATGTTAGTTTAGGGTTAGTAATGTAAAGGCTGACCAGGTTAATGTTAGTTTAGGGTTAGTAATGTAAAGGCTGACCAGGGTTAATGTTAGTTTAGGGTTAGTAATGTAAAGGCTGACCAGGTTAATGTTAGTTTAGGGTTAGTAATGTAAGGCTGACCAGGTTAATGTTAGTTTAGGGTAGTAATGTAAAGGCGACTCAGGTTAATGTTAGTTTAGGGTTCTGTAATGTAAAGGCTGACCGGTTACTGTTAGTTTAGGTTAGTAATGTAAAGGCTGCCCAGTTAATGTTAGTTTAGGGTTGTAATGTAATGGCTGACCAGGTAGTTAGTTTAGGGTTAGATAAAGTAAAGGCTGACCAGGTTAAATGTTGTTGTTAGGGTTAGTAAGGTAAAGGCCTGACCAGGTTAATGTTAGTTTAAGGGTTAGTAAGTAAAGGCTGACCAGTTAATGTTCGTTTAGGTTAGTATGTAAAGGCTGACCATGGTCAGGTTAGTTTTAGGGTTTAGTATTTAAAGGCTGACCATGTTAAATGTTAGTTTAGGGTTAGTAATGTAAGGCTGACCAGTTTAATGTTGTTTAGGGTTAGTAATATTTAAAGGCTGACCAGGTTTAATGTTAGTTTTGGGTTAGGTAATGTAAAGGCTGACCAGGTTTTAATGTTAGTTTAGGGTTAGTAATGTAAAGGCTGACCAGGTTAATGTTAGTTTAGGGTTAGTAATGTAAAGGCTGACCAGGTTATGTTGTTTAGGGTTAGTATGTAAGGCTGACCAGGTTATGTAGTTTAGGGTTAGTATGTAAAGGCTGACCAGTTAATGTTGTTTAGGTTAGTAGTAAAGGCTGACAGGTTAATGTTGTTTAGGGTTGTAATGTAAGGCTGACCAGGTTACATGTTAGTTTAGGTTAGTAAGAAAGGCTGACCAGGTTAATGTTAGTTTAGGGTTAGTAATGTACAGGCGACCAGGTTAATGTCATTAGGGTTGTAAAAGGGACAGGTTATGTTAGTTAGGGTTAGTACATGTAACAGGCTGACAGGTTAACTGTTAGTTAGGGTTAGTATGTAAAGGTGACAGGTTAACGTTATTAGGGTTAGTAACTGTAAAGGCTGACCAGGTTATGTTAGTTTCAGGGTTAGTAATCGAAAGGTTACCAGGTTAATGTTAGTTTAGGGTTAGTAGTGTAAAGGCTGACCAGGTTCATGTTAGTTTAGGGTTAGTAATGTAAAGGCTGACCAGGTTCATGTTAGTTTAGGGTTAGGTTATCGTCGTACCTCTGAGGATGGGTGTAATGACGGTGGACAGGAGACTACCAGCATTGATTGACAGGTAGAAGATGGAGAAGAATGTGCTCCTCTGTTTCTCCTGGAGAACGCATGGACAGGAGGACAGGTTCAGAGGACAAGAGACGTGGACAGGAGGACAGGTTCAGAGGACAGGAGGACAGGAGACATGGACAGGAGGACAGGAGAACAGGGTTGGAACAGGAGAACAGGGTTGGAACAGGAGAACAGGGTTGGAACAGGAGAACAGGGTTAGAACAGGAGAACAGGGTTAGAACAGGAGAACAGGGTTAGAACAGGAGAACAGGGTTGGAACAGGAGAACAGGGTTGGAACAGGAGAACAGGGTTAGAACAGGAGAACAGGGTTGGAACAGGAGAACAGGGTTAGAACAGGAGAACAGGGTTAGAACAGGAGAACAGGGTTGGAACAGGAGAACAGGGTTAGAACAGGAGAACAGGGTTAGAACAGGAGAACAGGGTTGGAACAGGAGAACAGGGTTAGAGGTGGTGTTACAAGGAGGCGGGTCTAGAGAGCTAGCTTGCTATATAGCCTGCAAACATCTGACCTTCACACTGGTGTCTAACCACAGCCGGCTCAATAGTAACAGTAATAGTAATAGTAGGAGGAGCAGCAGCATCTATCTGCTGGAGATTCACCCACATCAGCAACATGATGCACTATAACCCTAAATGCCCTCCCAGCGTGTAACCAGGGTTCATCGTTAATAAACAACCAGGTGGAATGTGTTAGATAGATACACCTACAGCTGCTGGCTCGGCACAGTCAGCACTGATAATGACTGAAGTCACAGTAACAAACCTCTCCAGACGCTGCTTTACAAAATGGCGTCTACACTACTGAGGGTCAGTAGAGACAGACTCTAAAAGGAAGGGCTGTGTGTTGTTTCTAAAATGGCGTCTACACTACCGTAATGACGGAGGTCAGTAGACTGTAAAATGGCTGCTCCGCTAGTGTTACCAACCTGGTGGTCTTCAAACTGGTCTCCTCCGAAGGCAGCAACACAGGGTTTGATTCCCCCCGTTCCCAGAGCGATGAGGAACAGGCCAACCATAGACATGGCCCTGAAGGGGAGAGAACAGCACATCACTTAACAGTTCAACTAATGGAACTCATATCATATCAATAAGTTGAGTCAACTTGATCGACTAAGTTTACTAACTCTAATCTTTTTACAATGCTGTACTGTACCCTGTGATCTAGGCTTATGTAGGATGTTGTGTTTAGGGAGAACAACAGATGAACTCACACATGGAAGGTCATGTTGTCAGGGGTCCCGTCCATGTCTGTGTCTGTGATGTCGTGGATAGCGCTTACTGCCATGACAACCTGTCCCACTGTATAGACAATGGATAAATAGACAATAGTCCTGGAAAAAGAGAGAGAGAGAGAGAGAGAGAGAGAGGGGGGGTTAGGGGGGAAGGGGCAAAAAGGTAAAAAGGAAAAAGGGAAAAGGGCTAGAAAAAATGTTTAACCGCCCCCCTTTTTAAATAAGAGAGCAGAGATGGGACCCCCCTATAGGATTAGCCTTTTTCCCCCCGTTTGATAGAGAGAAGAGAGAAAGAAGGATAAAAGGGGAACCAGAGATAGGAGAGAGAGGAGATAATAAAAGATAGAGAAAAGGGGATAAGAGAGAGATAACAAAACCCCCCAATAGGTTGGGCTTTTTTCTCCCTCTTTTTCCCATTTTCTCTCATTCTCTCTCTCCCCCTGCCTCTCTTTTCCCCGGCTCTCTCGCTCTCTCTCCCCTTCCCCTCTCTCCCTTTTCCCCTTTTCCCCTTTTCTTTCTTTTTTGCCTCCCCTTTTCCCCTTTCTCCTCTTCCCCCTCCCCCCCTTTTCTCTCTCTCTCTCTCTCGCCCTCTCCCTTTTTCCCTCTTCTCTCTCTCTCTCGCGCTCCCCGCTCCCTCTCTCTCTCTCTCTCCCCCTTTTTCTCCTCTCTCTCTCCTCTCTCTCTCTCTCCCCCTCTCTCCCCCCCTCCCCTCTCTTTTTCTCTCCCCTCTCCCTTTTCTCTCTTTTTCTCTCTCTTTTTCCTCTCCCCTTTTCTCTCTCTCTCCTCCCTCTCTATCCCTCCTCTCTCTTCGCTCTTCTCTCCCCTTTTCCCCTCTCTCTCCTCTCCCCTTCCCTCCCTCCTCCGCCCTTCTCTCTCTCTCTCTCCCCCCCTCCTCCCTTTTCCTCTCCTCTCTCTCCCCCCTTCCCCTCTTTTCCTTTCCCTTTCCTTTCTCTCCCCCCTCGCCCCTTTCCTTATCTGGGGGGGCTCCCTCCCCCTCTCTCTCCCTCCCCCCCCCTCCTCTTCCTCTCCCTCCTCCTTCTCTCTTTTCCCTCTCTCCTCCCCCTCTCTCTCCTCTCCCTCTCCCTTTTCTCTCTTTTCTCTCTTCTCCCCCTCTCTCTCTCCCCGTCTCTCTCTCCCTCTCTCCCCTCTCTTTTCTCTCTCTCTCTCTCTCTCTCTCTCTCCCGCTCCTCCCCCCTTTTCTCTCCTCTCCCCGGGGGGCTGGGGGGCCCGTCGCCCTCCTCCGGCCTCTCTCGCTCTCCCCCTGGTCTCGCCCCTCTCGCTCCCTCCCCTTTTCCCCCCTCTCTCTCCTCTCTTCCTCTCTCCCCCTCCTCTCTCTCTCTCTCCTCCGCTCTCTCTTCTCTCTCCCTCTCCCCTCCTCTTCCCCTCTCCCGCTCTCTCTCCTCTCTCCCCTCTCTTCCTCTCCCCTCTCATCCCCTCCTCCTCTCTCTTCTCCTCTTTTTTCTTTCTTTTCTTTTTCTCTCTCTTTTCCCCCCCTCTCTTTTCTCCTTTTTCTCTCCCCTCCCTCTCTTTTCTCTCCCTTCTCCCCCCTTCTCTTTTTTTTTTTTCCTTTTTTTCTCTCTCTCCCCCTCTCTCTTTTTCCCTTTTTTTCTCTCTCTCCCTTCTTTTTTCTTCCCCTCCCCTCTCTTTTTTTTTTCTTCTTTTTCTCTCTCTCCTTCCCTTTCCCCGTCCCCTTTCCCGGGTTTTTTTTTTTCCCCCTCCGGTTTTTTCCCCTTTTTTCCCTCTCCTCTTTTTTTCCCCCTTTCTTTTCTTTTTTTTTCCTTTTTCCCCTTGTTTTTTTTTTTTTTCCCCTTTTACCCGCTTTTTTCTTCCTGTTTTTTCCCCTTTCTCTTTCTTTTCTCAATTTCTTAGTCTCCCTTTTTTTTCTCTTTTATTATTTTTGGGGAGTTTTTTTTTCTTCCTTTTTTTTTTTTGTTCTCTTTTTCTTCCCCCGGTGTGGAACTTTTTATTTTCCTCTTTAAATTTCTCTTTCAAAACTTCCCTTTTATTTTTTTTTTCTCTCTCTTTTCCTCTCCCCTTTTTTTCCTCTCCTCCTTCTTCTCTCCTTTTTTCTTTTTCCCCCCCCCTTTAACGTCCTTTTTAAAAATTTGGTTTCCCCTAAATTTCCCTTTTTTTCCTTTCTCCCCCTTTTTTCTTTCTCTCCTCTCCTTTCCCTCCCTCCCTTTTTCTCTCTCTCTTCTGGGCCCCCTCTCTCTCCTCTTTCCCCTTTTTTTTTTGGGCCTCTCTTTCCTCTTCCTCCTCTCCTCTTCTCCTCTTCCCCTCCTCTGCTCTCCCCTTCCCTTTTTCTCCCCCCTTCTTTTTTTTTTGCTTTTCTCCTCTCTCTCTCTCTCTCTCCCCCCCTGGCCTCCTCTCTAAAAAAACTTTCTCTCTCTCCCCTCTCCCCTTCTTCCCTCTCTTTTTCCTCTCTCTTCTCTCCTCCCCTCTCCCCTCTTTCTCCCCTACCTCTTTTCTCTTTCCTTCTCTGCTTTTCCCTCTTCTTCTCTCTTTTCTCTCTTTTCTTTTTTTTTTTTTTTGTTTGTCCTCTCTCTTTTCCTTTTTCCCCCTTTTTTTTCCCCCCCCCTTCCCTTTTCCCCCCCTTTGGAAAGACAACTCAAGAAAGGGAACCCCGATTTCTATGGAAGATCATATGATAAATTGATGTAGTGGGTTTGGACTCACTTGAACTTTCCCAGCCAGGAGTCTGCCACTATGGCCCCCAGTATAGGAGTCAGGTAGCAGAGAGCAACGAAGGTGTGATAGATAGAGGTGGCCAGGTCATCATCCCACTTCAGGAAATACCTAAAGTACAGCACCAACACCGCTAGGGGGAGAACAGAACCACTCAATGTGTCCATCCACAGTTCCAGTCCCTAACATTGGTAAATGCATTGTAACTACCACTGAGTTATTTCAATTCTGTAGTAAACGCTGCTGCTGGTTAACAGAGAGAGGTGTGTTGTGTGACTGCCTCACCTCGCATGCCATAGTAGGAGAAACGTTCACAGAACTCATTGACCACGATGAAGAAAATACTCACAGGATACCCACACACATCCACCTGGACACAGGGGAGAGGAGTGATAAACACAGTGATAAACAGTGGAGTGAATAGAGGAGTGATGAACAGTGGAGTGAATAGAGGAGTGATAAACAGTGGAGTGAATAGAGGAGTGATAAACAGTGGAGTGAATAGAGGAGTGATAAACAGTGGAGTGAATAGAGGAGTGATAAACAGTGGAGTGAATAGAGGAGTGATAAACAGTGGAGTGAATAGAGGAGTGATAAACAGTGGAGTGAATAGAGGAGTGATAAACAGTGGAGTGAATAGAGGAGTGATAAACAGTAGAGTGAATAGAGGAGTGATAAACAGTGGAGTGAATAGAGGAGTGATAAACAGTGGAGTGAATAGAGGAGTGATAAACAGTGGAGTGAATAGAGGAGTGATAAACTGTAGAGTGAATAGAGGAGTGATAAACAGTGGAGTGAATAGAGGAGTGATAAACAGTAGAGTGAATAGAGGAGTGATAAACAGAGTGATAAACAGTGGAGTGAATAGAGGAGTGATAAACAGTGGAGTGAATAGAGGAGTGATAAACAGTGGAGTGAATAGAGGAGTGATAAACAGTGGAGTGAATAGAGGAGTGATAAACAGTGGAGTGAATAGAGGAGTGATAAACAGTGGAGTGAATAGAGGAGTGATAAACAGTGGAGTGAATAGAGGAGTGATAAACAGTGGAGTGAATAGAGGAGTGATAAACAGTGGAGTGAATAGAGGAGTGATAAACAATGGAGTGAATAGAGGAGTGATAAACAGTGGAGTGAATAGAGGAGTGATAAACAGTGGAGTGAATAGAGGAGTGATAAACAGTGGAGTGAATAGAGGAGTGATAAACTGTAGAGTGAATAGAGGAGTGATAAACAGTGGAGTGAATAGAGGAGTGATAAACAGTAGAGTGAATAGAGGAGTGATAAACAGAATGATAAACAGTGGAGTGAATAGAGGAGTGATAAACAGTGGAGTGAATAGAGGAGTGATAAACAGTGGAGTGAATAGAGGAGTGATAAACAGTGGAGTGAATAGAGGAGTGATAAACAGTGGAGTGAATAGAGGAGTGATAAACAATGGAGTGAATAGAGGAGTGATAAACAGTGGAGTGAATAGAGGAGTGATAAACAGTGGAGTGAATAGAGGAGTGATAAACAGTGGAGTGAATAGAGGAGTGATAAACTGTAGAGTGAATAGAGGAGTGATAAACAGTGGAGTGAATAGAGGAGTGATAAACAGTAGAGTGAATAGAGGAGTGATAAACAGAATGATAAACAGTGGAGTGAATAGAGGAGTGATAAACAGTGGAGTGAATAGAGGAGTGATAAACAGTGGAGTGAATAGAGGAGTGATAAACAGTGGAGTGAATAGAGGAGTGATAAACAGTGGAGTGAATAGAGGAGTGATAAACAGAGTGATAAACAGTGGGGTGAATAGAGGAGTGATAAACAGTGGAGTGAATAGAGGACTGATAAACAGTGGAGTGAATAGAGGAGTGATAAACAGTGGAGTGAATAGAGGAGTGATAAACAGTGGAGTGAATAGAGGAGTGATAAACAGTGGAGTGAATAGAGGAGTGATAAACAGTGGAGTGAATAGAGGAGTGATAAACAGTGGAGTGAATAGAGGAGTGATAAATAGTGGAGTGATTAGAGGAGTGATAAACAGTGGAGTGAATAGAGGAGTGATAAACAGAATGATAAACAGTGGAGTGAATAGAGGAGTGATAAACAATGGAGTGAATAGAGGAGTGATAAACAGTGGAGTGAATAGAGGAGTGATAAACAGTGGAGTGAATAGAGGAGTGATAAACAGTGGAGTGAATAGAGGAGTGATAAACAGTGGAGTGAATAGAGGAGTGATAAACAGTGGAGTGAATAGAGGAGTGATAAACAGTGGAGTGAATAGAGGAGTGATAAACAGTGGAGTGAATAGAGGAGTGATAAACAGTGGAGTGAATAGAGGAGTGATAAACAGTGGAGTGAATAGAGGAGTGATAAACAGTGGAGTGAATAGAGCAGTGATAAACAGAATGATAAACAGTGGAGTGAATAGAGGAGTGATAAACAGTGGAGTGAATAGAGGAGTGATAAACAGTGGAGTGAATAGAGGAGTGATAAACAGTGGAGTGAATAGAGGAGTGATAAACAGTGGAGTGAATAGAGGAGTGATAAACAGTGGAGTGAATAGAGGAGTGATAAACAGTGGAGTGAATAGAGGAGTGATAAACAGTGGAGTGAATAGAGGAGTGATAAACAGTGGAGTGAATAGAGGAGTGATAAACAGTGGAGTGAATAGAGGAGTGATAAACAGTGGAGTGAATAGAGGAGTGATAAACAGTGGAGTGAATAGAGGAGTGATAAACAGTGGAGTGAATAGAGGAGTGATAAACAGTGGAGTGAATAGAGGAGTGATAAACAGTGGAGTGAATAGAGGACTGATAAACAGTGGAGTGAATAGAGGAGTGATAAACAGAATGATAAACAGTGGAGTGAATAGAGGAGTGATAAACAGTAGAGTGAATAGAGGAGTGATAAACAGTGGAGTGAATAGAGGAGTGATAAACAGTGGAGTGAATAGAGGAGTGATAAACAGTGGAGTGAATAGAGGAGTGATAAACAGTGGAGTGAATAGAGGAGTGATAAACAGTAGAGTGAATAGAGGAGTGATAAACAGTAGAGTGAATAGAGGAGTGATAAACAGAATGATAAACAGTGGAGTGAATAGAGGAGTGATAAACAGTGAGAATGCACATAAAACTGGACCTTATAATCATGCATGTTGGTACTTACATCAAATACATTCTTAAAGACATCTTTGATTGAAACTGCAAGTTGATGAAAAAATATAAAGACCTCAGGGAATTAAGAAAGAAAGAAAGAAAGAAAGAAAGAAAGAAGGAAAGAAGGAAAGAAAGAAAGAAAGAAAGAAAGATAGCAGAAAGGCGTGAGGGGTCTGGGTCTTACCTTTCTTTTGGGCTTCTTCACATCCATGTCTTTGTCTGTCAGGGAACAGGTAATCCAGTGTTAGTCACATTTAACATTAGAAAGAGTTCATGACACAATCATAATGATGGTACAGTGTTACACTTATCAGAATGTGGTTGGCAGGTACCACAGCTGCAAAAAAGATGTTTGTACAAAGATGGATTCTGCCTCATCATTTATCAATGCAGCAATTGACAAAACATCTAATCATTGGTACAATGATTCAGATAGATCATAAACATCTAATCATTGAGACAATGATCCAGATAGATCATAAACATCTCATCAATGATACAATGATCCAAATAGATACATTCTTGAGTATATCAAAATATCATTTGCATTAAATTAGTGGAATTAATAGTTTCAAAATCTTTTAATTTTTTTTAGCAAATTATATTATTATAAACAGCTAATTCTATGAAGATGCATTCAACCGGGACTGAATGCATTTCATATTTATCCTGATTTTATTCTCAATATCAAATTATGAAAGAAAAAAACATGAAGAAATATTCCCAAAGATGCTGTGATCCCCTGGAAGATCATGGAGTCATATCCAATGTCCTGGAACAAGCCAGTGTTCTGCTCCCCTCTCACCCACCTGTCATGGTTCTAGTGTGTTGAGAAGACTCCTAGTCCTCTGTTCAATATCCTTCACCAGGGGAGTCAGGGTTGAAGACAGACAGACAGTCCAGAAGGGTTATGGTTAGTTTATCAGGAAGTATCTCACTCTGATCCCGAGGAAGACTCTGCACGGTGCTTTTGTAACCCGTCCCCCGGCAGAGCCCTAACCTCACCTCCCACAATGCCGAGGCTGGACTGTGCCCTGTATTTATGGTGCAGTGTGCCACAACACGAGAGGAGAGGTGGGACAGATGAAAGATGGGGACGGGAGCCAGGGGGGGAGAGGTGGGACAGATGAAAGATGGGGACGGGAGCACGAGAGGAGAGGTGGGACAGATGAAAGATGGGGACGGGAGCCAGGGGGGGAGAGGGGGGACAGATGAAAGATGGGGACGGGAGCCAGGGGGGGGGGGGAGGGATACAGGTACATCATAAGTACAGAACTATATTGAACAGAATGGGCTGGTGGGATGGAGCTGTCTATCAATAATGACGGTATGACTCAGGGACACCTAGAGGAGAATGAAGAGGGTCATCTCATACAGACAGAGATAGTAGAGAGAGGAGATTATATATATATATAGAGAGAGAGGGAGAGAGAGAGAGAGAGGGAGAGGTGATAAAGGAGTACCTTTAGGGGTGTATACTGTATCCTCTCTAAGATATTATCAGACAGGATCTAGGGGTTTAAATGACTATACTGTATCCTCTCTAATATATTATCAGACAGGATCTAGGGTTTAAATGACTATACTGTATCCTCTCTAATATATTATCAGACAGGATCTAGGGGTTTAAATGACTATAATGTATCCTCTCTAATATATTATCAGACAGGATCTAGGGGTTTAAATGACTATACTGTGTCCTCTTTAAGATATTATCAGACAGGATCTAAGGGTTTAGATTACTATAATGTATCCTCTCTAAGATATTATCAGACAGGATCTAGGGGTTTAAATGACTATACTGTATCCTCTCTAAGATATTATCAGACAGGATCTAGGGTTTAAATGACTATACTTTATCCTCTCGAAGATATCAGACAGGATCTAGGGGGTTAAATGACTATCAGAGACATCAGTACAGTATACAGTATTAACTATTTAGACAGAGATAGACTAGTACAGTACAGTACATAACCCCTGGCTTCACTATTTAGACAGAGATAGACTAGTACAGTACAGTACATAACCCCTGGCTTCACTATTTAGACAGAGATAGACTAGTACAGTACAGTACATAACCCCTGGCTTCACTGTTTAGACAGAGATAGACTAGTACAGTACAGTACATAACCCCTGGCTTCACTGTTTAGACAGAGATAGACTAGTACAGTACAGTACATAACCCCTGGCTTCACTGTTTAGACAGAGATAGACTAGTACAGTACAGTACAGTACATAACCCCTGGCTTCACTGTTTAGACAGAGATAGACTAGTACAGTACAGTACATAACCCCTGGCTTCACTATTTAGACAGAGATAGACTAGTACAGTACAGTACATAACCCCTGGCTTCACTATTTAGACAGAGATAGACTAGTACAGTACAGTACATAACCCCTGGCTTCACTATTTAGACAGAGATAGACTAGTACAGTACAGTACATAACCCCTGGCTTCACTATTTAGACAGAGATAGACTAGTACAGTACAGTACATAACCCCTGGCTTCACTGTTTAGACAGAGATAGACTAGTACAGTACAGTACATAACCCCTGGCTTCACTGTTTAGACAGAGATAGACTAGTACAGTACAGTACATAACCCCTGGCTTCACTGTTTAGACAGAGATAGACTAGTACAGTACAGTACATAACCCCTGGCTCCACTGTTTAGACAGAGATAGACTAGTACAGTGCAGTACATAACCCCTGGCTTCACTGTTTAGACAGAGATAGACTAGTACAGTACAGTACATAACCCCTGGCTCCACTGTTTAGTAGAATGAAAAGTATCAGATCAGCTGATGATACGTGTTGGGTGCCGTGGTTACAGCTGACCAGCTACAGGGTAGAGAACAGTCAGGTGCCTCAGGGAATCAGTAATAAACCCACACGTTTCTCTTTATCTGGAAGTATTATGTTGGTTGAAGCACAGATGATATTTTTTAAAAGAGCATTAAGAGACTCTCTGCCAAGTTAACAACAACAACACATCACTTTCTACATCAATCTGACAAAACGTCAACAGTATTCAAAAAAGTACAAATTTTTCCTGTCTCAAAAACACACATTTTGTATATTAAATCCAACAGATCAGAACCGCTAGATCGTAACAGAATGAAGGAACAGTCAATCACACAGAACTCCATATGAACCATGGTGGTTCCATCCCCATCTCATTAAATGGGACACACAGTCACTCCATATGAACCATGGTGGTTCCATCCCCATCTCATTAAATGGGACACACAGTCACTCCATATGAACCATGGTGGCTCCATCCCCATCTCATTAAATGGGACACACAGTCACTCCATATGAACCATGGTGGCTCCATCCCCATCTCATTAAATGGGACACACAGTCACTCCATATGAACCATGGTGGCTCCATCCCCATCTCATTAAATGGGATACACAGTCACTCCATATGAACCATGGTGGTTCCATCCCCATCTCATTAAATGAGACACACAGAACACACAGACAAGCCCCCACCTATGATGTGTTGGGGGGGGGGGGTTAGGTTGCTTTACACGGGACAGAGGGACATTTCTTTCGAGTCAGCAGCCTGCTTTCAGTCCCCACATCCCACGTTCTCCCCTACCCTACGTGACCCTATACATCCCATTCTACCTGTACAGAACAACACCAAACACCCAGCCCTGATCCCCATATAACTCACTCTATTCTTAGCTCAATCAACTAGTTATTTGAAATAATAATTAATAAGACTATCTCTCCGTTAGATCGTAATCAACAGCCCCATAAATGATGTTGCAACAACAGCAGAGCGGAGCAGCTACCCAGCTAACAATTCTATGGAGAGAGAACGTTTTTGTAATGTTATCCTTGGTTCCCCTAATATTTGAGGGTCCAGTTTTCCATTAGTTAGGGGAACATTCTATTTACGTTTAACAAAAACCTTCTAAGAACCTTTTTAGTATGTTTTGGTGTTAAAGTTAAGACAAAATTCTATGAATGTTCTCAGAATATACAATATTAATGTTCTAGACACGTTTCATGAGAACATTGCAAGAACATTCATGTGTCCAGTTTTCTGACGTCTTCATCAAACATACAGGACCAGTCAAAAGTTTGGACACACCTACTCATTCCAAGGGTTTTCTTTATTTTCTACATTGTAGAATAATAGTGAAGACATCAAAACTATGAAATAACACATATGGAATCATGTAGTAACCAAAAAAAAGTGTTGAAGAAATCAAAATATATTTTATATTTGAGATTCTTCAAATAGCCACCCTTTGCCTTGATGACAGCTTTGCACACTCTTGGCATTCTCTCAACCAGCTTCATGAGGTAGTCACATGGAATGCATTTCAATTAACAGGTGTGCCCTTTTAAAAGTTAATTTGTGGAATTTCTTTCCTTCTTAATGCGTTTGAGCCAATCAGTTGTGTTGTGACAAGGTAGGGGGGTATACAGAAGATAGCCCTATTTGGTAAAAGACCAAGTCCATATTATGGCAAGAACAGCTCAAATAATCAAAGAGAAACGACAGTCCATCATTACTTTAAGACATGAAGGTCAGTCAATACGGAACATTTCAAGAACTTTGAAAGTTTTTTCAAGTGCAGTCGTAAAAACCATGAAGCGCTATGATGAAACTGGCTCTCATGAGGAATGGAAGACCCAGAGTTACCTCTGCTGCAGAGGATAAGTTCATTAGAGTTACCAGCCTCAGAAATTGCAGCCCAAATAAATGCTTCACAGAGTTCAAGTAACAGACACATCTCAACATCAACTGTTCAGAGGGGACTGCATGAATCAGGCCTTCATGGTCGAATTGCTGCAAAGAAACCACTACTAAAGGACACCAATAATAAGAAGAGACCTGCTTGGGCCAAGACACACGAGCAATGGACATTAGACCGGTGGAAATCTGTCCTTTGGTCTGGAGTCCAAATTTGATATTTTTGGTTCCGACCGTTGTGTCTTTGTGAGATGCAGTGTGGGTGAATGGATGATCTCTGCATGTGTAGTTCACACTGTAAAGCATGGAGGAGGAGGTGTTATGGTGTGGGGGTGCTTTGCTGGTGACACTGTCTGTGATTTATTTTTGAATTCCCATCTGGTTTGGGCTTAGTGGGACTATCATTTGTTTTTCAACAGGACAATGACCTAACACACCTCCAGGCTGTGTAAGGGCTATTTGACCAAGAAGGAGAGTGATGGAGTGCAGCATCAGATGACCTGGCCTCCACAATCCCCCAACCTCAACCAAATTGAGATGGTTTGGTGTCACGGTTTCGGCCGAGACTGCTCCTCCTCCTGGTTCGGGCAGGCTTCGGCGTTCGCCGTCCCCGGAGTACTTTTTTTTTTTTTTTTTTTTTTTCACCTTTATTTAACCAGGTAAACCAGTTGAGAACAGGTTCTCATTTACAACTGCGACCTGGCCAAGATAAAGCAAAGCAGTGCAATAAAAACAACACAGAGTTACATATGGGGTAAAAAAAAACATAAAGTCAAAAATACAACAGAAAATATATATACAGTGTGTGCAAATGTAGCAAGTTATGGAGGTAAGGCAATAAGTAGGCTATAGTGCAGAATAATTACAATAGTATTAACACTGGAATGCTAGATGTGCAAGAGATTATGTGCAAATAGAGATACTGGGGTGCAAAAGAGCAAAATAAATAACAATATGGGGATGAGGTAGTTGGGTGGGCTAATTTCAGATGGGCTGTGTACAGGTGCAGTGATCGGTAAGGTGCTCTGACAACTGATGCTTAAAGTTAGTGAGGGAGATAAGAGTCTCCAGCTTCAGAGATTTTTGCAATTTGTTCCAG